GCCCGGGGTGCCCGCCGGGTCTCTGCCGCCGTTTGCCACGGGGCCATTGCACAACGCTCATGGGTACGGCGGATGGGGGGCTTCGCCTCCAGGGATGGGACCAAGTTTAGGGGTGACGTGGGCTGGGAGATGCCTTGTACACGTTGAGTTATGGGTTATTCTTTCCTTGCAGAGGTTCAGCTGTGGCCCGTGTGCCCTCCCGGGGCAGTTTTGGAACCCCGGTCCTGTGCTGCGGAGCCCGGGGCTGGGCAGAGGAGCAGGGTCCAGGATGGGAGGCTGGAGGGCAGCCAGCGAGCTGAGCGGGACCTGTGCTTTTAAAGGCCTTTCCCTTTGCTTTTGAAGGCTTTCTGCGTCAAAAATGCAGCTCTGATCTCTGCAGCTAGTGCTCTCCCCAGTAAACGTGCCGCTGTCGCTCCCGGCTGCCGGCATCCAGCTCGGCTCAGCTACGACAACATCCCTCCCTTGCACGGGACGGGAACCTACCCAGCCAGGGCTTCGGCTCTCCTAAAACCTGCCGCTCCGCGTCATTTTGGGGAGGGGAAAGGAGAATTTCTCCGTCAACGCTTGCTTCTCTCTGTCGCCTGCCTCGGAAAGCAGAGGACTTCCTGCCAGAGGAAGCCCTGCCAGATCCAAGCACGCCCAGACATCCCGAAGCCGCTTGCAAGAGCCTTCCTCCCTCTCCTCTCCCCCCTTCCGCCTCCGGCTCCCGCCGCTGCGCTGCATTCCCGGGAACCGGCCCAGCGCCCTTCCCGGGGCTCCCGGCGGACCTGATGCTCGCCCGTCCCTCCCGCCGTGTCCTAACTGAACTCTGGAAAAAAGCACTGGGGTTTCAGAGAGCTTCTGTAAGTGCACTCACATAATGTCCAGGCACTTCTTTTTTTCTTTTTTTTTTTTCTTTTCTTGGGGTTTGTTGGTTGGTTTTTTTTTCGCATGCAAACCCAAAATCCCCAGGTAATAAATAGCATGCACAAAGGCCGGCTTGGGCAAACAGCTGGCCCCTGCAGAGAGCTGCATGCAAAAGAGCCGTGCCTGCTTGCAAACTCTGCAGACACATATATAAGGGGACGTCGGCACGGGACGTACCTCCTGCAGCAAGGTCACCTCGTACTCTTGCAGCTGCTGCTGGAAGCCAAAGTTGGGGCTGACGTAGGACCGCACGGCCTTGGTGGCGGCCAGGCAGCCCTCCCAGCCGAGCTCGGTCACCGTCATGAGGTAAGCCACCAGGACGGTGGTGCTGCGGGAGACCCCGGCCAGGCTGGCACGGGGCGAGGGAGCAGCCTCAGGGTGAGGTATTCCCACCACGGGGGCTGGTGCGGCCCCGCAGGCAGGGACACCCATGGGATGCATCTTCCCACGGGCAGCCCCTCTCGGCGCGGTGCTAG